CAAAATTGGGGGGTCGGGCAAAAACTGGGGGGGGTCAGGGGAAAAAAACGGGAGGTAAGGGGCAAAAAATTGGGGTCGGGGGAAAAAAATGGGGGATTAGGGTGAGAAATTGAGGGGTAAGGTAAGAAATAGGGGGGTCAGGGTGAGAAGTGGGGGGTCAGGGGCAAAACTTGGGGGGAAAATGGAGGGGTTGGGGTGAGAAATGAGATCTGGGTAAGAAGTGGGGTCGGGGGAAAATGGGATCAGGGTGAGAAATGGAATTGAGGGGAAAAATGGGGGATCAGGGTGAGAAATTGGGGTTAAGGTGAGAAATAGGGTCAGGGGAAAAATTTGGGTCAGAGTGAGAAATGGGGTCGGGAAAATGGGGGCTCAGGGGCAAAAATTGGGGGATTAGAGGGGAAATGTAGGGTTTGGGGTGAGAAATGGGATCAGGATGAGAAATAGGATCAGGGTGAGAAATAGAATCAGGAAAATTGTGAGAAATTGGGGTTAAGGTAAGAAATGGGGTCAGGGGGAAAAATTTGGGTCAGAGTGAGAAATGGGGTCGGGAAAATGGGGGCTCAGGGGCAAAAATTGGGGGATTAGAGGGGAAATGTAGGGTTTGGGGTGAGAAATGGGGTCAGGGTGAGAAATAGAATCAGGGGAAAATGGGGAGAAATTGGGGGTTCAGGTGAGAAATGGGGTCAGGGGCAAATATTGAGGTCGGAGGAGAAATGTGGGGGAGTCGGGGAATAATGGGATCAGGGCAAAAATGGGGGTGAGGGGCAAGAATTGGGGGGTTAGGGGGAAAATGAGGGGGTCAGGGTAAGAAATGGAGTTGGGTGAGAAATTTGGGGTTAAGGTGAGAAATGGGGTCGGGGTAAGAAATGGGGAGTCAGGAGAAAAAATGGGATCAGGAGGAAAAATGATGGGGCCAGGATGAGAAACGCGAGCTCTCAAACATTCCAGGAATGTTCTGAGTTTCCAGGAATGCTCTGGCTTTCCTGGAAGTTTCCCTGGAAAGCTCTGAATTCCCAGGAATGCTTTCTGGGGCTTCCTGGAGGCTTTTCCCTGCAGAATTCCCAGATTTTCCTGCCTCCCCAACCCCTTTTCCCCCAGGAAGGACCACGAAAAAGCCGAATTCGAGGTGCACGAAGTCTACGCCGTGGACGTGCTCGTCAGCAGCGGCGAGGGGAAGGTCAGCCCGTCCCTTCCCAACAAATCCCCGGAATTCCCGGCCTGGATGGCTCCCCGGACGCCGGGAATTGCCCTGGGAATGTTTTGCAGGCCAAGGACGCGGGGCAGAGAACCACGATCTACAAGCGGGACCCCTCCAAGCAGTACGGGCTGAAGATGAAAACCTCGCGCGCCTTCTTCAGCGAGGTGGAGCGGCGCTTCGACACCATGCCCTTCACCCTGCGGTAATCCCGGGAATTCCGGGGCTGGGAATCCACCTGGATGGGGCTGGGATCCCACCTGGGGTACCTGCAGGGGGCTGGGGTACCTGCATATAGGGCTGGGATTCCAGGGAAATCCCCGGGCTTTCCTCAGCGAGGTGAAGCAGCGCTTCGACACCGTGCCCTTCACCCTGCGGTAATCCCGGGAATTCCGGGGCTGGAATGGGGCTGGGAGCACACCTGGGGTACCTGGATGGGGCTGGGGTACCTGGATATAGGGCTGGGATTCCAGGGATTTGAGGTTTCCTCAGCGAGGTGGAGCAGCGCTTTGACACCGTGCCAAATTGCCTGCGGTAATCCCGGGAATTCCGGGGCTGGGAGCACACCTGGGGTACCTGGATGGGGCTGGGGTACCTGGATATAGGGCTGGAATTCCAGGGAAATCCCTGGGCTTTCCTCAGCGAGGTGGAGCGGCACTTCGACACCGTGCCCTTCACCCTGCGGTGATCCCGGGAATTCCGGGGCTGGAATGGGGCTGGGAGCACACCTGGATAAAGATGGGAATACACCTGGATAAAACCTGGGGTACCTGCAGGGGGCTGGGGTACCTGGATAAAGCTGGAATTCCAGGGATTTCAGCCTTTCCTGGCAGGTGTCTGTAGGTGTTGGCTCAAGTGTGAGCTCTGGTGTGCCCGGCTGTGCTCCCAGGTGTGCCCAGGTGCGATTCCAGGTGCACTCAGGTGTGCTCCCACATGTGATCTCAGGTGTGCCCAGGTGTGATCTCAGGTGTGCCCAGGTGTGATCTCAGGTGTGCCCAGGTGTGATCTCAGTGTGCTCAGGTGTGCTCAGGTGTGATCTCAGTGTGCCCAGGTGTGATCTCAGTGTGCTCAGGTGTGCTCAGGTAGTCCCAGCCGTGCCCAGGTGTGATCCCAGCTGTATTCAGGTGTTCTCAGGTGTGCTCAAGGGTGATTCCAGGTGCTGCAGGTGCACTCAGGTGTGCCCAGGTGTGATCCCAGCTGTATTCAGGTGTGCTCAGGGGTGATTCCAGGTGCTCCAGGTGTGCACTGAAGTGCTCCCAGGTGTGCTCTCAGGTACTACCAGGTGTGCTCCCAGGTGCTCTCAGGTACTCCCAGGTGTGCACTGTGCCGCTCCCAGGTGCACTCAGGTGTGCCCAGGTGCGATCTCAGTGTGCCCAGGTGTGCTCAGGGGTGCCCAGGTGTGATGCCAGGTGCTCCCAGGTGTGCTCAGGTGCTCCCAGCCGTGCCCAGGTGTGCTCTCAGGTGTGCCCAGGTGTGCACTCAGGTGTGCCCAGGTGCGATCTCAGGTGTGCTCAGGGGTGCCCAGGTGTGATGCCAGGTGCTCCCAGGTGTGCACTCAGGTGCGGTGTCCCCCCAGGGCGCTGGAGGACGAGAAGAAGGCGCGCATGGGCGTGGTGGAGTGCGCCAAGCACGAGCTGCTGCAGCCCTTCAACGTCCTCTACGAGAAGGAAGGTGAGACCGGGGACACCTGGGGACACCTGGGGGACAGGTGAGGATGGATCCAGGTGAGTGTGGAGCTGCAGAGCCACTCACAGCAGGGATTGCAGGTCCTGGCAGGGCTGTAGCTCATGGTTACCCCTCCCTGGGTCCTGGCAGGACTGTAGCTCGGGTTAACCCTTTCAGGGTCAGCCCCAGGTCCTGGCAGGGCTGTAGCTCAGGGTTACCCCTGGGTCCTGGCAGGGCTGTAGCTCAGGGCAGGGCTGTAGCTCAGGGTCCTGGCAGGGCTGTAGCTCAGGGTCACTGCAGGTCCTGGCAGGGCTGTAGCTCAGGGTCACTGCCAGGTCCTGGCAGGGCTGTAGCTCAGGGTCACTGCAGGTCCTGGCAGGGCTGTAGCTCAGGGTCCTGGCAGGGCTGTAGCTCAGGGTCACTGCAGGTCCTGGCAGGGCTGTAGCTCAGGGCCACTGCCAGGTCCTGGCAGGGCTGTAGCTCAGGGTTACCCCCGGGTCCTGGCAGGGCTGTAGCTCAGGGTCCTGGCAGGGCTGTAGCTCAGGGCCACTGCAGGTCCTGGCAGGGCTGTAGCTGGGTTAACCCCTCGGTGCCCGCAGGCGAGTTCGTGGCCCAGTTCAAGTTCACGGTGCTGCTGATGCCCAACGGCCCCATGAGGATCACGAGCGGCCCCTTCGAGGCCGAGCTCTACAAATCCGACCTGGAGGTGCAGGACGGGGAGCTCAAGGTTAGTTAATCCTTAATATTAATCATTAGTAACGATAATATGCAAATTAGGTAGCTATATAAACATAACACCTATTTTCATATGAAATATTCATTTAAAAATAGATCTGTTTAGTGGTTTTATTAGTTATATTGCTTTTTAATAGTTATATTTAGTTGGAAAATAAAAGATAAAATATCTGTATTAATAATAGAAAATATTAATATAAATATAGTTAATGCTTATTAGCTATATATTATATATAACTAATAGTTATATATTTAGTTAATGTTTATATAACCACAGTTGTGTTAATAAATTGATTGATAATCAATAAGAAATAATTATATATATCAATAAATTTTTAAAATCTTGTAGTTTAGTAAGTATAAAATATCACTAAATATATATAAATAAAATATACAATAAAAAAATTTCTAATAAATTTGTACACTTATAAATATATAAAGATATAAAAATAACATTAATCATATAGTCTAATTAATAGACTGCATTAATTATATATTTATATGAATATATATATATACATGGATTATATAGAGTCTGATTAATAAATATAGAAGCGTTTATATCTACATATAACATGTTAATTAATATATTGCAGAGTAAAATAGGAACAATTTCATATTGATAACCAGAATAATAATGGAAATATTGATAATTAAAATATGAACAATTGAAGTACTGTTATTGAAATATTTAGTATTGAATATTTACTAATTTAAATATTAATGAATTAATTTTAAAAATGTAACTAATAAATTAAGGATTAATTTAGTAATATATTTATTGTTCCTGCATTATTATTTATTATTAATTTTTGAATAATTATTAACGTATTAAGTAGTTAATTTAAATTAATAAATAAAATATTGGTAATTAATAAAGCAGCACCTCACCTGTCCTTGGACGGGAGATGAAGGAAAAGGAACCAAACCCCCCCAAAAATGACCCAAATTCCCAAAATTCATTATTACCCAAAAAACCACCAGGATCATTTCCCACCTCCTCACCCTTCCTTCCCTTCCAGGCCCTTCTACAAAGCTCTGCCAGCCGGAAGACCCAGAAAAAGAAGAAAAAGAAGGTAAAATCAATCACTTTAATTCAGAATTTTGGGGTGTTTCTAGGAGAAAAACCCTGAAAAATCCCCGGATTTGTCCCCACAGGCTTCCAAAAACGCTGAAAACGCCACCACGGGGGAGACAGCGGAGGAGAACGAGGCCGGCGACTGAGAGCCCTTGGAGTTCTCAAATCGCCCCTTTTTCCCCCAAAAAAACCCCCCAGAAAAACAAAATTCCATCCGGAAACGAAAGAATCTGGCACTGGTGTTGGTCCAGTCTGGAATTCCCACAGAATCCAACAGCTCCCGTTGACTTTGCCAAGGAGGGAGGAATCTCTCGGTCACTTCAGACTTCCAAACGAATAAAAAAGAATAAAAACACCCCAGAAAGAGCAGCGAGAAAAAAAGAATTTTAATAAAAATTAGGAGTGAAAGTCGCTATTAAATCCTTAATATTCCCCATGTTTTGGAGAGGTGAATCTGTGAAATTTAGGGAGAGGGAGCGGAGGGAGCTGCTGATTCTTTCCTCCTCCTCCTCCTCCTCCTCCTCCTGCCTTTTTTTTATTTTTTAATTTTTTCCCTTTGGAAATTTTCACAAAAAAACCCAAAAACCAAGTGATTCCACCCAGAAAAGTGCCCTGTGCGAGCAATCCTGCATTTTGTCTTTTCCCTCTCGGGATTGTACTTTAAGAATTGGGAAAAAAAACCCCAAATTTTAAGTTCCCCCTACCCACCCACCCACCAGGAGCCTTTTCTGCCTCTGCCTTGATTTATGGGATTTCAAAAAAATCGCTATTTTTTAACACAAAACTGGTTTTTAAAATGATCCAAACCTTCGGGAAGCCGCCGACATTCCGGCCTTGCGGAGCTGAATTCCCTAAAAACCCAGGTTTGGGTGTTTTTTATCCTTCCCAATATCCCCGGGAGCACATTCCACCTTTTCCCCGTGAGCCGGAGGATAATTTTTTTTTCACTTTTTCCCTCAGGATTCTTTGCTAATTTTGGGAGAAAAAAAAAAAAATATCCCACCAGAATTCCTCAGGGGAGAAGTGAGGGAAGCGCTGATCCGGGATAGGCCCGAGCCTAGGGGTATCGCTCTTTTATAGTCAATTTTTTACAAAAAAACCACATAAAAACGAGAAAAAAAAGCCGATTAAACGCCGTCAGTTGAATGTTTGAGGTTTTTTTTTTCTTTGCCGGTACCCCTGGTTCTTTTTTTCCCTCACGTTTTTGGGAATTCTGATTCCCGCCTTACCCAACGTTCCCGGGCGATCTCCGCAGGCCGCGGTGCTTCCTCGTCAAAATCCGAGTTTTCCACCCCAAAAAAAACAAAAACTCCACTCGTGCAAACGTTACCAAAGTCAAATAAAAGAGAATAAACCATGCGATATTGGATTTTATTCCGGGTTTCTTTCCATCTTTGGGGATTTGGGGTTGTGGGGTGGAACCCGCCCGGGCCTGGGTGGGTTTGGGGTTGGAAATGGGGTTTTTGAGGGAAAATTCTCATTTTATGAGGGGAAAATACTAATTTTTTTAGGGAAAATGCTGATTTTTGAGGGGAAATGTTCATTTTTGAGGGGAAAATGCTCATTTTTGAGGGAAATATGCTGATTTCTGAGGGGAAAAATGTTCATTTTTGAGGGAAAAGCACTCATTTTTGGGAGAAAAGTGCTCATTTTTGAGGAGAAACTACTAATTTTTGAGGGAAAATGCTCGTTTGTGAGGGGAAAATGCTCATTTTTGAGGGAAAATACTCAGTTTTGAGGGGAAAATCCTATTTTTTGAGGAGAAAAAAGTTCCACTTTTAAGGAAAAACACCTCATTTTAAGGAAAATCCCCTCATTTTAATATAAATAACCTGATTTTGAAGGAGCAACTCCCTCACTTTGAGGAGAAAAACTGATTTTGAGGGAAAAATGTTAAATTGATGGGAAAAGCTCATTTTGAGGGGAAAATCCCTTATTTTGAAGGGAAAATAAATATTGAGGGGAAAAAAAAAACTTGTTTTGAGGTAAAAATCCTCTATTTTGCAGGAGTAAAAATCTCATTCTGTGGGGAAAACCCCCTCTTTTTAATTTTTTTAATTTTTAAGGGAAAAATCGTAATTTTAGGCTTTTAAAGCAGTATTCCACCTGGGGACGGGAGCCAAAAGCTCTTTGAATCCACAGCAGGGATTTAAAAACCGCTGAGACTCGCGGGAGGTTTATTTAATTTTCCATTTGTTATCTTTTATGCTACTATATAAAAATATTTTATATTTTTACTTGAAAGGGAAATCTCCAGAGGGGCTTCGGGATGCAACAACAATCTTTTTAAAGGATTGGATAAGCGGAAATTGCCGGGGAAAAAAATTGTATTTGGTGTTTTTATTCCCAATAAATTGGGGGTGGGGAGGGACCGAACCCTGCGGCGGCGCAAAATGGCGGCCGGCCGCCGGACTACAAGTCCCATGGTGCTCCAACAGCAAAGAACTACATTTCCCGTGGTGCCTCGCGCCGCGATGGGCGTGGCCGGAGCGCTTCCCTATAAATAGGCCCCACCGGACGGAGCGCGCCCCTCTCGGCCGCCGCCATCTTGGTGCCTTCACCGGCCGCCGCCTCCATCCGCCGCCATCCGCCTCCATCCGCCTTCCCCCGCCCGCCGGGACTGAGCGGGGCTCCGCAGAACCGCCATGAGGGCCAAGGTGAGCGGCGGGGGGCGGCCGATGGCGCCTCAGAACCGGCCGGGCCTGGATGGAGGAGGAGGATGGGGAGCTGCGGCCTGGACGAGCCCCGGGGCTGGGGGGAACCGGGGAACGGGAGGGGGTCCCTGGGTGAGG